ATATATATATATATATATATATATATATATATATATATATATATGTAAAGGTGTTTTAAACCCTTCCCACACTCTTGCAATATTCTAAACAGTGTTTCTAAACGCTCTGAGAGACAGAATGTCATGATTTCAGCTCTCTGCCTCGTCTGCTCTCAGTCCCCTGCAAGCGTTCTTGGCCACGCCCACTTCTCCACTCTGCGTGGAGAACAGCTGATCAGCTGAAGCAGGAAGTTTATCCTGCAGTGTGGGCTGCACAAAGGTGCAGCAGGTGCTGAATATTCTAAAATAATTCATTTTAAATAAAAATTTCATGCAGATTATGCGGCTCATCCATCAATCAGCCAAATGTGTGTCTTGACCAATCTTATTGTGGAAAAACAGCGATACAAGGAGTCTGCGATAAACGAACCGAGGGGCTACTGTATATAGATAAATTGAACTAAATGCATTTGTATTTATTTTTTTTACTTATGGAAGGCCTGAGGTCTTACCTGAGCTCTTCAACCTCTCTGATGTAGTTCTGTATTAAAGTTCCGATCTCTTCACTGCCTTCACCTACAAGACAAAGAAAATGTAGTTTGTCAAATTACCTTTAAAAAAATGGGTAAAGTCTTGAAAAGCTTAATTAAAAGAAACGAGGAGAGCTCAAGTGAAGTGTGAAGCGATAAAGCATCTCTCTCACGTACTTGACTTGGTGAGCAGAGTGCTGACCTCATGGGCCAGCAGATGAGTCACGCGGGTGTTGAGGTGATCGATGGTCTCCTGCATGGCCTTCACTCTGAGCCGCAGCGTCTCGTTATCCCTCTGCAGCATGGCGTTCTCTTGGTGCATGTCGCTGTAGCCCTCCGAACCATCCTCACATGCAACACGCTTCCCCTGCACCAAGTAAACAGCCAACAAACGTGAAAAAAAGTCAGAGCTGAAAACAAACAAAAGGTGATTGTTTTGAGTAAGTTAGTCTCCTGGAGCAGCCATTGTTGAACTCTGGAGGCTTGACATGGACAGAAGTCCAGCTGTTTAAGCCTGAAACACAGAATCACTATCTGATCCAGCCACAGCTCGCAGAACTCTGCTACTTGTGGACTCCAGTCACATCACATCTCTTGTAACGATCTCAAGGTCATTGTGTGTTCTCTTCAGTAACCTTGATAACCTTAATACATGAACAGACAGCCGATATAAACGACTGCCTGTTTGGGAGAGACCTGGAGGTTATAGAATAAAAATAAACTTCTGACAGAATTCTTTTAAATCTCATTATTCTTGACTCATGCTCCACAGACTTAGTATTCGACTCCTCCAATCAAAACAATATATTCTTGTCTATGACCAGAGCGTGTAAAATGCTGATATTTAAAAATGCAATCCTCCTAACTGTCACACAGCAGAGATGAGTGGATGTGTAAATGTTCCACCGGTGGATTTTAGTTTCACGTATTCATCATCTGCTGCAGCAGGAATGGCCTCAGTAACACGATCCACTCTTACTCTTTGCGGCGTTGTCCATTTTCTTCTTCTCACGTTTACCCATCATGCATCATTTCACCCCTCTCTCATCGTCTTATATCAGTTACACTGACAGCAAGTTAAAAAAGCGTGTTAATCACATTTTTATCTTGCTACTTCCCATTTGTTCTCTCCGGTCTTCTTCTATCCAACATAATTTTTCTCCTCCAAACTCCTGTGCTCGTACGTCACCAACTCTGCCTGCTTCCTGTCCGTCTTCTGTTGGTCTCTCCTTGACATTCGTCACTCACCGCCTTGTACTCCATCAGCTCCATCTGGAGTCGGACTATCTCGGCACGCAGGGCGTTGATCTGCTGGCTGGTCTTGTCTTGGTTCACCACCACCTTGTTCTTGATGTTTCGGGCTCGATTGGCGTACTTCAGCGTGTTCAGCGTCTCCATGAAGTCCCGGTCTGACGGGCTCACGCAGGCGATCATTACTGTGCGGCTGCAACATTGGGGACATTGGCTCTCATAAGCAGCCGTTTAATCTTTTGTATATTAATTGTTTAATAACATTTGAAGATGTATTTGTTAGTGCATGCAGGTGTACCTGTTGCCTCCCAGTGAGTCTTGTAACAGTCGGGTGAGTTTGGAGTCTCTGTATGGGATGTGTCCTGCCTTTTTCGTTTGATCACCTAAAGCGCTGATCACGTTTCCCAAAGCGAGCTGACACACAGAAGAGAGACGAGTAAACAGCAGTTTACTACACAGAAGCAGATGTGCAGAGGAGGAGCAGAGCAATGTGCAGCAACTAAGAACAGAAACTGGTTGTGTTTGTCCCACCAGTCCACAGTTGATGGAGATTCCCTCTCGGGCCCTCTCTCCTGTGGCCCCGGTGCGTTTAAGCCTCTCGGAGCCAGCCAGATCTACAAAGTGGAACTTGGCCATCAACGTCTCGTACTCCGGCTGGGCAATGGGACCAGAGTCCACACCATTCACCACCTCGTTCTCCCCTCCTCCATTCTGCAAGTGAGAAAAGGGAAAAATCAAAACAAAAAGAGACAAGTTTCTCATAAATTACTGTGTTGTGCACTAAAGTGGCAATGGTTTCATCCGTTTGCATGGTTTTTTTTTGTAAATGTACACAAAATGTTTTTAGATTTGTTTTGCGTGTTCAATGATAGTGGTGTACAATGGTAATTCTGTCTTATCCTCCATTAAACTGTGCAGATAGTATGAACCTCCCTGTCATGATTTCAGAGCTCTCGTCTTTCATTTCTCCAGTACATACACCTCTCAACTTCAAACCTCCAGTCTCACCATTTGCAGCTGCTGACAGACTCTCATCTGACAGAGGTGGATTGTGAAGATGGCGTGCGACCGGGAGCTTTGGGCGTTCATCTGAGTGCTGGCTGTGGTGCGGGACAGAGCGCCGAGCTTCAAACACTGCAGCAGCTGAAGCACACACAAAAGATGGAGATTTGTTTCTAATTTGTAATTAAGAGGAACAAATCAATGATAAAAAAAAAACAGACTGAAAAGGAATAATTGCTTCATTTTTAATATATTAAAACCTATTATCACTCAGCGAAGTTCTAAGAACACACAATTTCATTTCATCTGTCAGAAAATCTCTTCATCTAGTTGTCTCCAAACAGAAATGCTCCAGACATCTTTATTTTACATGAGCATCTGTTACCCATAAGATTCAACTTGGCACTCTTATGCTGCATCCTCATTTTTTAAACGACCCATACCTTTTTATCTTCCTCCTTTTCTTATTCTTCTTCTTTGGGCTGCTCCCTTCTTCAGGGGTTGCCACAGCCAACTACTGTATTTTTCGGTCTATAAGTCACAGTTTTTTGCATAATTTACATGTCCTGCAACTTATAGGCGAAGCAACATATTTATGGATTTTCTTTCATATTTATAAACCATTTTTTGGCTTTCATTCAATCTGACTGGAAAAAAAATTGAGCAGTACCACTTTCAGCCACTTGATGGCAGCAGAGTAGCAGTAGCAGTATGGCATACCGTTGTATCATGTAATAGGTAAACGTGGCTATAATGACAAATTCAAAAAAGTTCAAGACAAAAACAACTGGACTTTATTTATTATACTTTGTTTTCCAACATTTTTCAGTCAGGTCATCTAGACAGTTTCTTTTTTTGTGCTGAAACGTTTCGCCTTTGATCCAGAAGGCTTCATCAGCCAAGAAAATGCACAACAAAACTGATTCTTCCCCCAACAGCTTACTCCAACGTGGAACAAACCAGTTCTGCTTGTGATAAGATGGTCTCTTTGGTACGCCCCTCCTCCGTTGCCGACCCTCTTCCTTGGTGACGGTCGTGTCAAACTGGTTGAAAACAACAAAGTCCAGATGACCTGACTGAAAAATGTTGGATTGTATACCTGGATTATTGAGCAAGAACTTTGTTGTTATACTTTGTTTTGTTTCTTTCTTAAACTTTATTGAATTTACCGTGTCCTAGATGACTGAGAATCTTCACCAGCTGTTAATGACTGAATCGGCTTGCCGTATAACCCCACCTTCGTTGTGCTCGCTGCTTGGAACCATCAAACCAGCTGCACCGCCCCGGCGAAATGCAGCTGACTTGCCCACATTCCCGGGTTGTCAGCAATGATGCGTAACAAACGCGACACATCAGCGGTGACGCATAATAGGTGCGATATATACGACGAAGTGACATATTTATGGATTTTTCCACTTTATTAGACAAATACGGACTGATGCGACTTATAGGGCGGAGAGACATGTACGGTGGAAAATACGGTAAGTTGCACAAAGACTTGGCGATTGTTTTTATACCAGAAGCCCTTCCTGACACAACCACAGACAACCGAGCTACCACAGCTCTCTATGTGGAGCAGAGAGCGGCCATCTAGGGAACTCGGGGGAGTAGTTTGGGGGTTAAGGGCCTTGCTCAAGGGTCCAGAGTGGGGCAAAGGAGGGTGGAGACGGGGACGAGTGCTTCAGCAATCCTACCCACATTTTGATGTCGGTTCCGGGAGTTGAACCAGCGACCTTCGGATCACAGGCCCACCTTCTCTAACCTCTGCGCCACCACTCCTTTTCTTTATCTTCCTCCAAACACCATTAATACACATTCTCCACACCACTCCTACAGTCTCACAGAGAAGTGCACATTTGTCTCCATTTGTCTCTCAGATGTTAATATTTCGATAAGTTCAAAGCAAAGGTTAATTATCGTAGCTCTATGTTCAGTCTTGCTCTGGTTTACTGAATAAACTACACACAACTACTTTTTTAATTCTGTCACCAATTTAAAAAGATTTAAAACAGCACACGCTGCACATTGTTGTTGGTTAAGTGTCGCTGCTCTGCAGCAAGAAGGTTGCAGGTTTGACTCTCGGCTGGAGCCTTTCAGCATGAAGTTTAAATGTAATGTTTGTTCACAAGTCTGGTTTCCTCCCAGTCTGAAAACATACACGCTAGGTTATTTGGCAACTCTACTATGTCACTTGGTGTGAGTGGTAGTTGTCTCTATAGGGCACTGTGATGGACTGGTGACCTGTGATGGACTGGTGACTTGTGATGGACTGGTGACTTGTGATGGACTGGTGACCTGTGATGGACTCGTGACCTGCGATGGACTGGTGACTTGTGATGGACTGGTGACCTGTGATGGACTCGTGACCTGCGATGGACTCGTGACCTGCGATGGACTGGTGACCTGCGATGGACTGGTGACCTGCGATGGACTGGTGACCAGTGATGGACTGGTGACTTGCGATGGACTGGTGACCTGCGATGGACTGGTGACCAGTGATGGACTGGTGACCAGTGATGGACTGGTGACTTGTGATGGACTGGTGACCTGCGATGGACTGGTGACCAGTGATGGACTGGTGACCAGTGATGGACTGGTGACCAGTGATGGACTGGTGACTTGTGATGGACTGTGACCAGTGATGGACTGGTGACCTGTGATGGACTGGTGACCTGTGATGGACTGGTGACCTGTGATGGACTGGTGACCTGTGATGGACTGGTGACCAGTGATGGACTGGTGACTTGTGATGGACTGGTGACCTGTGATGGACTGGTGACCTGTGATGGACTGGTGACTTGTGATGGACTGGTGACCAGTGATGGACTGGTGACTTGTGATGGACTGGTGACCTGTGATGGTCTGGTGACCAGTGATGGACTGGTGACCTGTGATGGACTGGTGACCTGTGATGGACTGGTGACCTGTGATGGACTGGTGACCAGTGAAGGACTGGTGACCTGTGATGGACTGGTGACCTGTGATTTACTGGTGACCTGTGATGGACTCGTGACCTGTGATGGACTCGTGACTTGCGATGGACTGGTGACCTGTGATGGACTGGTGACCTGTGATGGACTGGCGACCTGTGATGGACTGGTGACCTGCGATGGACTGGTGACCAGTGATGGACTGGTGACCTGTGATGGACTGGTGACCAGTGATGGACTGGTGACCTGTGATGGACTGGTGACCAGTGATGGACTGGTGACCAGTGATGGACTGGTGACCTGTGATGGACTGGTGACCTGTGATGGACTGGTGACCAGTCCAGGGTCTACCCTGCCATTCACTCACTGATTGTTGGGGACAGGCACCAGCACTCTGTAACCTTAAACAGGAACAAGCAGGTAAAGAAAATAGATGCATGAATAATGGTGCGTGAAATTCTTCAGCAAACATTCTTGAAGCTCTTCTGACCTTCGTCTCCAGACTGTAACTGTTCAAATACGCCTCTCGTCCACTGTCATTCGTTACTTTAAAGTGGTTTTGAATTAGCGAGCCTCTTAAAACTGTTCAGACATCTTGATTACAAAGGACAAAGAAGCTTCATGGGGTGAACTAGCCTGGGTTAAAGTACTTCGTTTGACTCATACCTTTTTTTTTTTTGCATCGTTAACCTTTTTACTCGTTTCTGACAACTGCGCACCAGGTGGCTGTTGGCAGCTCTTATGCTACGTATGTTTAGCTTTTACCACACTTTGCTTCAGTCAGCACTCACTTTCATCGTTAACATCACACATTTTAACAGACAGTAAATTTGGTGTCATGGGAATTTTCTCAGAGGCTATAGTTTTGCACTTTTTGTGCTACCACCATCAAAAAGTATAATGAAATAAAGATCAAGTGTTTTTAAAATAAAAAGGCAGAAAACATCAAAGCTCATTGTATTTTTTTTTTTTCTACCAACTACTCTGTTCAATCCTATTTTGGTTCTGTTGAGAGAATAGATCAGTCACTTCAAAATCAGCAACAATAGCTGGTATAAGGTGAAAAATTCAACATGTTTTTTTCCAGGTAAAAAGAACAAAAATCAAAATAAGAAACACCTCCTTATTTCACACACACAAACCCACCTCCTCCTCCGAGTGCACCAGTCTGGATGTGACGCCTGTGGTGTAGATGCTGCCGTTGCTATCCTCGTGGATTTTGATGTTGGACTTCTTGCTGCGACTCTCTGGATCTCTGGTTCCATCAAACAAGTCCAAGATCTCCTCATTGTACAACTACACACACACACCACAGTCATTGTGAACGTTTCTTAAAAGGCTGATACATCACCTTAATATTACACAGCAAAGAAATGTAACATTGTCGTGTGTTCCTAACATCCTTAACTTGTAAAACAGAGACTTTTGCTCTCGTTTGATTGAATAAAATCTTGTTGAAACACAGATCTGCAGCCACAGCAGTCACAATAATGATCTCCCTGAAAACAGGGAATGAAGGGGTCATGAGCTGAAAGCTCAGCTGTTCCCACCTAATGCCAAACACACATCTGTTTACATCAACAACGATAACCTTTTGACCTAAAAACCACCCACTGATAACGAGGAGCACAACAGATAAAACAAATAAATGACAATAATCTGCATGTAAAGCATATTCATTATTTATACTAATATTTCTTTCACAAACTAATGATTTATCAGGTGATGCTCATACCTACAACAGTCCACTCCCTAATAAAGCTTAAACAATTATCGTCTAGAAATCCCCGGGGGAAATGATTACTAGTCATACATCTCGTTTCTCCTACACAAGCATCCCTCCCTCCCCCGATTCTTCGCTCTTATCCGTTTTCTGGCCCTCGGTGATGAAGAATAATGTCAAAGGTAATGGCCAACATTAATCAGGACCAACAAAGCACGAGCAGAAGCTGCAGCCCATCTGTCTTCGGCCTGTCACTTCCCGTTAGTGGAATGGGAGTTTGATCCTGTTGTCTCCTCTGTTCTGTCCCATCTGGTTAGAGTTAATGTGAACCAACATCCAGCACATGCGCGCATACACGCTCGCACTTAAACTGGGGGTGGGGGGTGGAGACAATCTAATGTACGTAGTTTAAATGTTGGATCGAGTCATTTGTAGCCCACCTCCAGGAACTGGGCGCTGACTTTAAACTCTGGCGGATGGATGCCAGCCTCCTGGGCACGCAGCCTCTGGCTCTGGATGCTCTCAAACAGTTGGTGAACAGCCCGTGGGATGATGCCTTGCTCCGTGAGGCTCAGGCTCACGTCAAAACCCGTTCCCATGGTGTAGGTCTTCCCTGAACCCGTCTGAAACACATCCCGTCAACAACAAGGACAATGTACTTGCATTCAAAACACGGAGGCCTGTTTCTTGCACATGAATGTCAAATCACTCGACTTTGATGAACTCAGTGAGGATGTGCGTGTCTGGCATGCACTACTGTATATGTGCTTTTCTTTTTGCAGACGTCAGTAGTGTGCACGTCTACAGCACTCTTTTTAACCCTTGATTAAATAATGTGAGATACATTTTTCTTCTGTAGGTTTTTGGGCGTTTCTTGTCCTGCAGTTTGAGCCGCTTCAACAAATCATAAATCAAAACGTTCGGCTCTTTC